TTTCCCGCCTCGCGCGTCTCCTCAGCCCGCGGCGCTGCGCATGCGCTGCTGCCTAACGGCTCTGCTCCTTGACAGGACGGACTGTCCAAGGCCTTGGCCACACCGCGATTTTAACTGGTGTTGGGTTTGGTGCGGGGACTGGAGAAGGGCGAGGGCGAGCGGCTGGGGCTGGGGAAGGGCGAGCGGCTGGGGCTGGGGAAGGGCGAGCGGCTGGGGCTGGGGAAGGGCGAGCGGCTGGGGCTGGGGAAGGGCGAGCGGGAGGCCGGGCTCTCACCAGCGGGCGGCCGCAGCCATGGAGGGGCTCCCGGCAGCCGCCGTCGGGGGCGTGTTGGACCCGCCGCGTCCGAGCCCCTTCAGTCAGCTGGTCTACACCAGCAACGACTCTTATGTGATCCACTATGGGGATCTCAGGAAGATCCACAAAGCTGCCTGGAAGGGCCAAGACTGCAAGCTGCAGAAGATGATGAATAAGAAGATGAAGAAGAAGAAGACATTGGACCTGAACATAAGAGACGCGAAGAAGAGGTACTAGGCCCTGCCTGAGCCCGAGCTGCAGGAGGAGGTGGCGGCTGTGGGAGGATCGCCCCTTCGGAGTGCGGGGCTGGGGGCCTGGGGACCAGGGGAGCAGCTGGAGGAGCGGGGGGCGGCGGTCCTGGGCCCTGGGGTCTGGGCCTTCGTCCTGGGCAGGGGTCTCCCAGGCCGGGGATGAGTGCGCCCTGCAGGGCGGAGGGCCCAGGCCACCTTAAAATCAGCCCCAAACTTTAGCTGCTTTCCCTTCACTCCCACTTCCCATCACAGAGCTCTGTCTAGAGAATTTTTTTTCATTCAATTGTCACTTTATTGCAAGATGGTAGAATTAACTACAAATTTAAACTATAACCTTGGTAATCTTTAGTTGGGCAGCAAGTTTTTATAAAGGCAAAGTGCTTATACAGAAGTGATCATGGAACAACTCAAATGCAGAGTAAGAAGGATCAGAAATATCTGACTGACCAATGGAGATTTCGCTCTCTCACTGTTTAAAACAAACTTGTCATTTTTAGAAGAGGTAAATCGTAACTTCAGTAGACACCAATAAGAAAGATTTTGTGAAATAGACTAGTTTCATTTACTCAGTCAACTGTTTCTAGCTGTCTCAATTGGAATACATACATTTATATAACTGGCTGTGCTTGAGCCTTTTTTGCCAGCAGCTTTAGGTCAGTAATGCACTTGGCAATTGTCTCCTTTTTCTCCTGTGCAGAGATGCTCTGCACCACGTGCTTCTCCATGCAATTTATCATGTGCTCTTATTCCTTTCAATGCATCATGTTCTGCACAGATAGTCAAGGCGATTTTTTACTTCCTTATATACTCTATGCAATTGTTCCGGGTAAGTAACCTCCAAAGCTATAGCAATGTTATTCCTCTGCACATCAAAAAGGTAATGGCACTTCTGAACCTCTGAACCAGTGCCTGCTGTGCCTTCTCCAAATCAACTGCATCCTGGATTTTTTTTTTTTTTTAGAATATTTCCTTTATTTTATTTTAATGTACTTTAAGCTCTGGGGTACATGTGCTCATCCTGCAGGATTGTTGCATAGGTACACACATGCCATGGTGGTTTGCTGTCTCAGTCACCCAGTTGCCTACATCAGGCATTTCTTCTGGTGTTATCCCTCCCCAACCATCCCACCCCCACTGTCCCTCCCCTCCCCTGGCCCTCACCTCCTAATCCCCACTGTCCCTCCCCTCCCCTGGCCCTCACCTCCTAATCTACCCCAGTGTGAGATGTTCTCCTTCCTGTGCTCACGTGTTCTCATTGTTCATCACTTGCCTATGAGTGAAAATGTGGTGTTTGGTTTTCTATTCTTGTGTTGGTTTGCTGTGAATGATGGTTTCCAGATTCATCCATGTCCCTACAAAGGACATGAACTCATCGACTTTTATGGCTGCACTGTATTCCATAGTGTGTATGTGCCACTTTTTGCTTGTCTAGTCTATCATTAATGAGCATTTGGGTTGGTTCCAGGTCTTTGCTATTGTAAACAGCACCACAAGGAACATACATGTACATGTGTCTTTAAAATAGAATGATTTATAGTCCTTTGGGTATATAAGCAGTAATGGGATTGCTGGGTCAAATGGAATTTCTATTGCTAGATCCTTGAGGAATCGCCACACTGTCTTCCACAATGGTTGAACTAATTTACACTCCCACCAACAGTGTAAAAGTGTTCCTTTTTCTCCACATTCTCTCTAGCATCTGTTGTCTCCAGATTTTTTAATGATCACCATTCTAACTGGCATGAGATGGTATCTCAATGTGGTTTTGATTTGCATTTCTCTAGTAACCAGTGATGGTGAACATTTTTTCATGTGTTTGTCGGCCGCATAAATGTATTCTTTTGAAAAGTGTCTGTTCATCAGACACTTTACAAAAGAAGATATACATGAGGCCAACAAACACATGAAAAAATGCTCATCGTCACTGGTCATCAGAGAAATGCAAATCAAAACCACATTGAGATACCATCTCACGCCAGTTAGAATGGCGATCATTAAAAAATCTGGAGACAACAGATGCTGGAGAGAATGTGGAGAAATAGGAACACTTTTACACTGTTGGTGGGAGTGTAAATTAGTTCAACCATTGTGGAAGACAGTGTGGCGATTCCTCAAGGACCTAGAAATAGAAATTCCAATTGACCCAGCAATCCCATTACTGGGTATGTATCCGAAGGATTACAGATCGTTCTACTATAAGGACACGTGCACACGAATGTTCATTGCAGCACTGTTTACAATAGCAAAGACCTGGAACCAACCCAAATGCCCATCGACGATAGACTGGATAGGGAAAATGTGACACATATACACCATGGAATATTATGCAGCCATCAAAAACGATGAGTTTGAGTCCTTTGTAGGGACATGGATGAACCTGGAAACCATCATTCTCAGCAAACTGACAGAAGAGCAGAAGATCAAACACCACATGTTCTCACTCATAGGCGGGTGTTGAACAATGAGAACACATGGACACAGGGAGGGGAGCACTACACACTGGGGTCAGTTGGGGGGAAATAGGGGAGGGACGGTGGGGGGTGGGGAGCTGGGGAGAGATAGCAAGGGGAGAAATGCCAGATATAGGTGATGGGGAGGAAGGCAGCAAATCACACTGCCACGTGTGTACCTATGCAACAATTTTGCACGTTCTTCACATGTACCCCAAAACCTAAAATGCAATAAAATAAATGGGGAAAAAAAATTTAAACTGCCCATAATATAACCTCCTGGAGATAACCATAGTTTTGTGTATCTGCACTTTATACTATAATTTATTTAACCACTACCCTATTGTGGGATATTTAGATTATTTCCAGGTTTCTTATTATTATAAATAATATTGCAATAAATAGACTTGGACTCCAAAAAAAAAAGAAAAAGAAAAAGTGTCTGTTCATATCCTTTGTCCACTTTTGAATGAGTTTGTTTGTTTTTTCTTGTACATCTGCTGTAGTTCTTTGTAGATTCTGGATAATAGGCCTTTGTCAAATGGGTGGTTTGCAAACATTTTTTCCCATTCTGTTGGTTGCCAGTTCACTCTAATGATTGTTTCTTTTGCTGTGCAGAAACTCTTAAGTTTAATTAGATCCCATTTGTGTATTTTGGCTTTTGTTGCCATTGCTTTTGGTGTTTTAGTCATGAAGTTCTTGCCTATGCCTATGTCCTGAATGATGTTGCCTAGGTTTTCTTCTAGGGTTTTTATGGTGTTCTTACATTTAAATCTTTACTCCATCTGGAGTTAATTTTTGTATAAGGATGTGAGGAATGGGTTCTTTAAGATATTGAACTTCCCACTTGTATTTATCATTGTTTTAATCAATTTATCACACGTAAGCTGAATGCCTATTATGTAGAAGACACATTCTAATAACTTACAAGACACTTTCACCCTTAAACATTTCATATTTACTTGCTCAGCCTGGGCAAAGTGAGAGATTTAAAATTGGAGTATTAGGACTGACCCTCAATTGAAGCTTTTCCTCTCATCTTTCAAACAAAAACACTTCTGAAGTGAGAGACTGGTGAAAGATAACTATCAACTGCAATTTTGGAAATTTATAACAGTTTTAAATAGTAATATTAATCATTGAAAATATCTAATCTACAGGCATCCTATAAATCTAAATATGAATTAACATACATTTTGTAAATCTAAATACAAAATAAAATGTGCTATAGTTACTCATTTGAATCCCAAGTGTTCTTTGGCTTGAAGTTTTTAAAATATTAAATAAGTACTTTAACAATTTGTTGTTTTTATTTCAACTCTACTTTTGTGTAGTATTCTTACAAGCTAAAATTTCTTTAAGTCTTAATCCTGTGACTTGGACTTCCACTGTCTTGTTGTATATACCATATCCCACTTCATGGAAGGTACCGTGAATTGTGTGATGCATCCTTATTTTATGTACCAATAAAAGATTGTTTAAATTGCTACAATATACAGTTGTAATAAATAATGACTTATAAGTGGCATTTCAATATCAGAGATGCTAAAATATGAGAAATTGTTCATCTTATAAGCATTAAAATACAGTGTTACCTCTAACCTTTAAAACACGCCACAAAATAGGCATAATTGCACCATTTTACTTAAAATGTTGTCTTTGATAAGTAGCAGTAATAATTATAATATCTAACATTACTGAGCTGTTACATGTGCTAGGAACTCTTCAACATACTTTGCACAGATTCTCATTGAGGCATCACAATTTTGTCCTGTGAGATAACTACTATATTCATCTTTACTTTATTGATGAGAAAATTGAGGAACAGAAAGGCTACATGATATCCAGTAAGAGAAAGACCTTAACATAATATCCAAGCCCAAGTTGAAATGAATCCAAAGGCCAAGCTCTTTCTGTTCAAATAGTCCACTCTTTCATTAATGTAGTGAGGAATAAGAGCAAATGGAAGTGGTATTTTCTTCAGGAGAACATTGAATATTTGTTTTGAAGGCAGAGAAAGAGCATGATATTTAATGTTTACAGTTACATAAATCATTGTATGTTTTGAGACAGTGGACTAAAATTTCCTAAAAGGTCCTCTCACTCTCATAGGACTGCGCTACACTTAGCCTGTGCCTACGGCCATGAGAAAGTGGTAATTTTACTGGTAGACAGAAAATGCCAGATTGACGTCTGTGACGGCGAAAAAAGGACACCTCTGATGAAGGTAAATAGTAGCCAGTGCTTTCAGCAGGAGATGGATTTGGTTTAAATACATAGAATGAAAATGGACTTATCTCATTGAAATACAGCTAGTTTGTGAAACCAGAGAAATATTTATTTTGATTTCCTATAATTTAAAATTTTCTTCTTGCTTTAATACTAACAGGCTCTACAATGCCGGAGGGAAGCTTGTGCAAACATTCTGATAGATTCTGGTGCTGATCCAACTATCATAGATGTGTATGGCAACACGGCTCTCCACTATGCTGTTTATATTGAGAGTGTGTCAATGGTGGCAAAACTGCTGTCCCGTGGTGCAGACACTGAAGTGGAAAACAAGGTAGACATTAACCAATGTTATTTTCAAAATGTTTGAGATCCACTTGTTTTAACATTAACATATGTGTTTTTATATTTAAAAGTTGAAACATTGCTTGAATGAAAATAGTTTGAACAAACTGAATTGTCTTTCATTTTATTATAAGTATTAATATTTTTACAAGAACTATCACAGAGTATGGCATTTTTGTGCATTTATTTTAACTATTTGAATTTGTTAACAGTAAATGTTTTTCAAATATTCTTTCCCACCCAAGTTCTTTTTTTTCTTTTCAATTAGTGTAAAACTACAGGAAAGCAAAATTTGCCTGGATAAATGTTGTCAACATGTTAAATTTAGGAGACGTGCAGATATCTAGATTTCCTCTTAAAGGATAGAATCTGATGTCTCTTGAGCCCATATGACTGTTTGGTACTCTATGAAGAGGTTCTACGTTTCAAAGCATATGTTTTCCAGTTTGCTACTGTGCCCTGCTAGGTATATTGCTTACTCAAGTTACCTCTTTTGCCTATGTAAATATCTCTTAGTTATCAATTTCTCTCTCATAGTATATTTTGGTAAAGATTTCAAGGTATTGAAGACAGTTTATATTTTACCTTAATTCATTAATAATGGGATTAATTTCTAGAATTCAGATTTTTAAACAATGATTTTTCTTTACATAAACCATAAATAAACATCTTCTATTAGAATGATTTTAAGTCTTTTTAGATTAATCATGATTATATTTGAATAGGTTATGCATATTGCAGAAAGTATTATCTTTCTCCTTAGAATTGTTAGTTAAAATTCAAGTGATTTAGTGGCTTCTTTATGATAATATATGTAGGTAAGTTAGAACTTTCACTGATAAGCCATTTTAGTCATATTTCTGATATTTTACCAAAAAATAAGTAGCAATTACAATAGAAACAGAATAAAAATGTATTATTGCATTTAAGAAGTAGATATGCATTAGGATCCTAGGATTATCATTGTAATTGAGAATAAACTTTTATACTGAATTTCTAATACCTGAAATAAAAGATTATTGTCTTGTAATAGGAGAAGCCCCATGGACCATTTAAAAATAAACAAGCAAATTTCATTTGAAAGTAATCTCTTTTAATTTGGAGCCCACTTCCTTATTGACCCATCTAGAGCAGGAGTGCCTGCCATTGGCATCTTAGATCCTGGGATCATTAATAGAAGAGAATCAAGCATGTTTGTAGCACCCAGACGAAACCTCAATTTCTCTTGGGAAGCTTTCAAAACCATATACCTGAAATTCTAATTTGTCAAATGTTAATGTCTGCCACAAAAATATGTTGTCAAGTAAGGATTAGGCAAAGTTCAAGTCATTTTTTGAATAATGGACATTTAACTCACAGTTTTATAATATTTCTTGAACATAGGTAATGGTGAAATCTGTTGGGGTACAGTGCTTCTGGTAAGATAATTATTCTTTGGAATATAGTTTAAGAAACACTGCTCTACAAGTGATAATTCAGATTACCAATTTAATTAAAAAAACCAAAGTCTTTACTACTATGTCTTAGTGTTTAAGGCTATAGAGATAAAAGATACAGCCCCACACCCTCAAGAAACTCTTGGTTTAGATAGGAAACAAATCATTACAATTTAATGTTTTTTTGAGATATTCAGAGTTAATGTGGTGATGCAGAGGCTGAATGTTTCCAAGGGAAGATGCAGTGGATGGGAAAGCACAGAAAAGGGAGAAAGAAGGGACTGCTATTGATTTACTTTCTATTTTATGTGTTTAAGTTCATAGGATACTATATAAGGTATTCAGTTCAACTGAGAAATACGTAATTTCATGAATCATAAATTGTTTTTGATGTTTTACAGGCTGGCCTCACACCACTTTTACTATCCATAACTAGAAGAAATGTGCAAATTGTGGAATTTTTACTGACAAAAAACGCAAATGCAAATGCAGTTAATAAGTGTACATGGTATAGTAGTTTTTTTTTTTATTAGAAACACTTCAGTAGTGTTCTAGAGTGATAGCAATCAAGTCAGAAATATTAAATTGATAACATTTATTTAAAATTATTAGCTTAAGTGAAAAATATCAACACAAATTATCAGTTAGGAAGAAAAGCCGGTATTTGGACTGGTCATTACTAAGAACAGTATACAGTAAGATTTATCTTCTCTTTTTGTATTGACTGATTTGTAATCTGATGTTTTGGTTGCATTATCTTCTATTAGCTAAAGTGGTTTTATGTTAAAGAAGTATGAATTTTTTCAGTTTATAATTCAATATTGAATGATTAACACTTTTATAGTATTTTTCTAACTTCTCTTTTTTAAATACACTTTAAAAATGCAATATTTGCTGGGCACGGTAGCTCTCGCCTGTTATCCCAGCACTTTGGGAGGCTAAGGTGGGTGAACCACTTAAGGCAAGGAGTTCGAGACCAGCCTAGCCAACATGGTGAAAACCCATCTCTAGTAAAAATATGAAAGTTAGCTGGGCATGGTGGCACATGCTTGTAGTCCCAGCTACTAAATAAGCTGAGGCATGAGAATCCCTGGAACCTGGGAGGCAAAGTTTGCAGTGAGCTGAGATTGTGCTATCACATTCCAGCCGGGGAAACAGAGCGAGACACTGTCTAAAAACAACAACAACAAACAATAGTAGTCAAAAATAGAAGTTTAAAATCATTTTGTCTTGAGGATGACTATTGCTTTAAGTTCTTTTCTTTGAAAAATAGTTATGTTAGGTTATCCCTCCATGATTATAAATTGCTGTCACCAGATACTGTGAATTTATTTATTTTTTCTTTTTTCATTCATAATGTATTTTTATTTTTAATTTGTATGGGTAGAGGGAAGAAAGTCATTTTTAACTGGATTAACATTTTAGTTAATGAAGATAAGTCATAGGTGAGTGATAAAGAAAAAGAGACAGGCTTTTGATTCACACAAGACTGGGTTTAATTTCTACGTTCCTCACTTGATAGGTGTGACCTTGCAGACATTATTTAGTACCAACTATGATTTTCTATATGAAAAGGAGAATATACTATGTCCTTTAAGAATGATTGTGTGGAATTAACATAATAAATATCAACAGCATTTAATTCAGTGTTTCATACATTCTTATCAGCATTATTAACTAAACTTACCATGACTGCTACTAAGATCATTATTCCCACTATTGTTTTAAGCCTTCAGATTGCTCTCACTTGTCTAATTTCTAGCTGATTTTGAAGTACAAAATCAGTCTAAGGAAGAAATAGATAATTCTTCACTTAAATCTGTGCCTCTTTTAGATTAGTGAACAGAGCATATTTTCTTGCCCCTCAAAGGACTTTATGTTAGCCACTTCTAGTATGCCATTTCCCAGTGGAACATGAGTCTTTTTGCCCCTTCGTTTTAGTCTTGGTGGTGATTTACAAGGATAAACACTTGAGCACTCAAGATACTTATGTTTGTTAGTATTACGTAAATGGTTAATTCTACACTGACAGACAAATATTAAAACGGTCCTGTTCCTAATAATGAAGTTATCTCTTTGTTATTTTAGCACAGCCCTCATGCTTGCAGTATGTCATGGGTCATCAGAGATAGTCGGCAGGCTTCTTCAGCAAAATGTTGACATCTATGCTGAAGATATGTTTGGAATGACTGCAGAACGTTACGCTGTTGCTTGTGGATTTGATAAGTAAGTGTTTATATTTAAAGGCTAGGTGACCATTCATAGTTTGTTTCAGGTAATTTTTGAATGACATTGAGTTAGTTCACTTCATCAGTCAGAAAGTGGGCAAAAAGCTAGACTAGTTAGAAGGAGTAATGGGTCCAGGATTCTTTATTTTAGGATTTTCCACAACTTTATTCCCAGGGATCCTAATGCTGGCTGCCTGATTTGAAGTAAACCCTTATGCGGGGGATAAACATAGTGCCACAGTTTTGATTTTTCTAATTAGTTATTTGGGTCTTGAAATGTCCACTTTAGCAGAACTCCTGATAGTGTCCCCTGGGGGCTGTCTTTCATACCTTCACCCTTGAATTTTTTTTTAAGAATTTAAGGGGTTTCCTAAGTCCAATGAAGACACTCCTTTTGTACATGTCAGAAGGACTTGGGGGAAATGGCCATTTTCTTCATTTTGTTGTTTCCATTGATTCTGTTGTTGCATTGTTGTCATTGAAACAGCTTCTGCAGTCTGAAAATGATTGACTTTTGTGATCAGGATGCCCTTACTAATACAGATCCCTCAGTCTTCATGGTGATCCATATATAGGCTTCAAAGTTATTACATTTTTTTTTAAGTTTGCATACATATTCTCAGCCATTGTTTCCAAAGTACCAGCACCCTGCTCTGGCAGCTAGGACTTTTAGCTTTAGCCACACACATAGTGATCAAATTGACCCTTGTTCTCACACTCAAAACCTGATGTGAAACCCACATCTTAGCTTGGACTTGGCCTAGACCTTCATGGTACGTAATCCTTTGAGTGGCTTTTTTTCTAGTTGTGATAGTTTGAAACTGTAAGTCACGTTGAAATATAGGAAGAAATTAGCAGTCCATTTAATTATTATTACCAGATCTATATCTTTGGCCTTTTATATCCTGTGTAGCACCATTTAGTAGGTAGTGGAGGAAGGTCTCATCTTGTTCTGGAAGATTCCATGTCATCTTTCCCCAGTTGTAGTGGGTTCCAACTTGTGGGTTTCCCCTCAAGTGATTCTTTTTTTCTGAAAGAAAAATCTCCCATGCTAGTTGCATCTCTATCTCAAGTTTTTAAAATATTTTCAAATTATGCATCACTATGAAGCCATTCAATAAATCTCAAGTAAGTTGGTTAGATTTAACCAACTTCATTGATTTAAATCTTCATAGATGTAACTTACTTCATTTACGACTGATCAGTCTTCACATACAGAATTAGAGATTTGTGCTGGCTTCACTGGTACATATACTAAAATTGAAACAACGTCGAGAAGATCAGCATGGTCCCTGCATGAGGATGACACACAAATCTGTGAAGTGTTGCATATTTCTTGCAGTCCCCAAAGGACATTTGACTACTTTCTAACTAGCTCCAAGGAAGTGGTGTCAGTCAAAGCACAGTGGGTGACGCCCAGTATTGCAATGGTGATTTTCATACAAAAAAAATTATGTAAGGTGATCTATAAAATGAAATATTGGTGAGTAATACATAGGAACTTCTGTGCAATATGTTGTTAGTAGGCATCTCATAAATGAGAAACTACCAACTTGCATCTTATTTGTGGAACTTGCAAAAAATAAAGGTAGCGTTTTGTCTTCCACAGCAGCTGGAAATGAGCGTAGTGACCAAGCATCATTCTAACAAAGATTTGTTGGCTCAGAGTTTAAGGAGGTAGATAAAGTGTAGTAGTAGTCCAAGTCAGTTGCTGACATATATTAGTTTTCTGCCCATGATGTGACTGATGAGCTCAGTAATATAGGAAAATCAGATTATCCAATTAATGAATTAATATATTTATTAATAAATTTTATTACAAATTATAAAATAGCTTAGATGTCCTGAATTACAAGCCACAAAAACCAGAACATCTAATAATCAAAAGTAGGAATTAATAACAGAAAACTGCAATATTTTGATGTTATAACCTATGAAGACTCTATTTTAAAAAAAAAAAAATTACTTTTATAGAGACAGGGGTCTTCCTATGTTGTCCAGGCTAGTATTGAACTTCTGGGCTCAAGGAATTCTCCTGTCCCAGCATCCCAAAGTGCTTGCATCACAAGCATGAGCCGCTGCACCAGGTCAACACAATGGGTTTTACTGGGAATTTTAAAATAGTTTCAGCAATAAGGTTTAAGAAGAAATTATTTCATTGCTTCACTATTTCTTTGAGTGCTTTAAAACTGTTATCTTGTTAAATCTTTATAATAACCTAGTATAAAAAGACTCTAAAATTCTCATTTTCAGAAGACATTGAGCCTAAGAGAAGCAACTTTTTCAAGAAAAAATACCTGTTGGTTACTGCACTAGAACCTCTTCTGAGTTAAGGACATTTTCCATTATGCCAAGCTAACTCTAGTTAATTGACTAAATTATACTGTCCTCAATTCATGAGTATTTCATCTTTGTTTCTTCTTGTATTTGAAGCTTAATAAGTTCATAGGCCTTACAAACCTAAAGCCTATGGAATAAGTCATGTTCTGACGTTAGCCCTGATATTTTCTGAAATACTCTAAGAACTTAATGTGGTAAATGTTTTTTAATATCAGTGTTAAAATTGTTATTTTATGTATTATATTTTTTATACATAGCATTCTTCAACAACTTTTGGAATATAAACAAAAGACATCTAAATATCTTCAAAATAGCAATCCAGGTAAGACTTCTGATATTAAACTACTCTTGGTGGTACCACCATAAGATTATGGAAGTTTTGATCACAAAAGAGCAATTAAAAAATAAATGTGTAAATAGCATGTGTTTACATACATACATATGTGTGTGTATGCATATATACATATATAGAGCTTTGGTTTAATTTTTTAGTTCATAATTCATAATTAGTTAAGAATATAGTTGTAGGTAGTTTATAATCTCAAAAAATATTATCTGAAAAAATATTTGTTTAATTATGGCCCTAAAATCCTATATAATACTTTTGTATAAATAAGTAAAAGAATTTATAAGTTCATATATTGTGTTTCCTCAATTGTCATAACAACTTAGGCTTGTTATAAAATGTATAACACTCAGTATGACTGATGAACTCAGTAATAGGGGATAATCAGGATATCCAATTTAATGAATTAAAATATTATAAATAAATTTTATTCCAAATTATAAAATAGCTTCAATGCCCTGAATTACAAGCCACAAATAATAGAACTAATAATAATAAATAGCCAGAATTAACAACAGAAAACTATAACATTTGAATATTATAACTTATAAAGAAACATGGATATTTATTTGTTTGTTTATTTATTTATTTATTGTAAAGAAGGGTCTCCTTATGTTGCCTAGGAGTGTCTTGAACTTCTGAGCTCTATTTAATTTTTATAATAAATGGTTGCATTTAGTAAATGATAATTAGTTACAGTTGAGTCTTAAGAAACATGAGAGTTAAGGTGCTGATTCCTCATGCAGCTGAAAATCTGCTTTATATGAAAATCTGTTTATTTTGACTCCCCCAAAACTCTAGTAATAGTCTATTGACCTGGAGCCTCACTGAAAGCATAAACAGTCAATTAACACATAGCTTATATTTTATATGTGCTATATACTGTATTCTTACAATAAAGTGAGCTGGAGAAAATACACTGCTACAAAGAGGAAAAATATATTCACTATTTATTAAGTGGAAGTGAATTATTATACATAAAGGTCTTCATTCTCATTGCTTTCATGTTGAGCAAGCTGATAAAGAGTGGGCATAGGAGGGATTTGTCTTGGTATCTTGCAGTGGCCAAGAACAAGAAAAATCTGTCTGTTGCTGGGATCCTACAGTGAAAGGATCAACTATGTGACATAGTGACTTGTGTCACAAGAAAAGTAACTATCTTTAGAATTTGGAACTCAATAATACTCTTCTGGCACCATAAACAAATGTCAAAAAGAATTACAAAACTTAGGGTGCATCAGTACAAATATTTGAAAAATAATCTCCTACTACTGAATGCAGAAGTCAGAAAAGCAATTCTTTTTTGTGAAGTGCAGGGTATGTTACATAGCCTTGTACCAACAAGGCCTCACTATTATCAACTTCATTCCCTCTAACTTGAAACCAAATCATATATATTTACTTCATTAGAACAAGATGAGTTGTTCTATCTGCTGTATGATTAGCGTGTTAATAGTAATTTTGTTACAACAAGATACTCTGTTCCTACTAGTCAGAATATTATCATTATAAATATTCAAATAGATAACTCTAGGCTCAACAAATTATAATAAAAGTGCACAAAATTTCACAATATCAAAAATGCTACTGTGATACCTAAATGTGACACAATGCATTGTACAATACAAACTGAGCACATCTTTAATTTATTATATCGAAGGACTTTTATAAGTTAGGTTTTGCAAGTTACAGGAGACAAAGATGGAATACAAATAATTTAGGTCTTAAGGTGCTCATAATAAAGTAGAGCTGTCCCTATTGAATTTATGCATTTTTTTCAATAGAGTTTCCAAAAAATGCTTTTTATCCACTTACCCACTTGTCAGCTTAACAAATAGCTGTCAGGTATCTTTAAAGTACTAAGCATCTTCCTTGTTATTATCATTGTCATCTTTTTAATTATTTACTACTTTATTAAGGTACTAAACATTTTTCTTTTCATTATCATCTTTTAAAAATTATTTACTACTTTATTTAGTGCTTACTTTGTGCCAGAATCCCTTTGGGAGCTTATAATTATCACTTATGTCGTTACCATATTCATTATGTGTCAGACATTTTATGTGCAAGGTGAAGAATTAAAGCTTTGAAAAGTTTGGTAGTGTCAAGACACAATGGCTCACTCCTGTAATCCTAGCACTTTGGGAGGTCAAGGCTGATGGATTGCTTGAAATTAGGAGTTTGTGACCACCCTGACTAATATGGTGAAACCCAGTCTCTACTAAATAGGAAAAATTAGCCAGACGTGGTGTTGTGCCACTGTAATCCCAGCAACTTGGGAGGCTGAGGTAGGAGAATTGCCTGAACCCGGGAGGCGGAGGTTGCAGTGAGCTGAGATCACGCCACTGCACTCCAGCCTGGGCGACAGAGCGAGACTCTGTCTCAAAAAACAACAACAACAACAACAAAACAAAACAAAACAAAACAAAACAAAACAAAGGAGAAGAGAAAAGTTAGGTAGTATTTAAGGAAAGCATGCAGAATGAGAAGTTTGCCAGGTAAAGAGAAGAATAACATTTAGCAGAAGGAAAACATTAACCAAATTGTGTGTTTGGCAGAAGGAACAGCTGAAGAAACACCTGACCAGGCTGCACCCTTGGCGGAGGGCACACCCGACGCGGACGCACGCTTGGCGGAGGGCACGCCTGACGCGGACGCACGCTTGGCGGAGGGCACGCCTGACG